TTCCTCCTCTCTTCTTTTCTTCTTTCCTCCCCCCTTCTTCTTCTTTTTTTTTTGCTTTTTTTTTGTTTTCCCTCTTCTCTCTCTGTGATGTTATACGCCTTTGCATGTAAATATCTGCGTTTGTTAGATGATGGGCCACGAGGCGGAGGAAACGGAGGAATGGTGGGTGCATAAGTGCCCCTCTCCTCTGTGTGGGGTGGTTTAGCAGCAGCAGCAGCAGCAGACACGTATATGCGTTTACGTCTGTCTATCGCCGTGCTATGGCTGAGGTGGCCAATGCTGTGCTGTGTTCGATGTACCCCAAGCGATGCGATGTGCTCCGTGTGCTAACCCAGTCACCTATTCATCGGAAAAAAAAACCAAACAAACAACGAAAAAAGGATGGTGGAAAAAAGGGGGAATGAAACGAAAAAAAAAGTTTCCGCCTCTATTCGAAACAACGAGAGTGGGAGCGAATACAAAAGGTCAGTGATGTGAATGTTTTCCTTTTTATTTTAGAGGAGGGGAGGAGGGGGGCGGGGGGGGGGGTCTTTTGATACACAAACGTAGCGGCGAGGACAGCGGAAGTGATAGAAGGTGTTGTAATCAAAGTTTGGGATGAAGTACAGAGACGAGACAAGAGGGCAGGAAGAAGAAGAATAATTAAAAAAAAAAGATATGAGGGGGTAGCCGCGGAAAACAAGATGGAAAATTAAGGAAGAATAGAAGCATATCTGTCCGCAATTGTCCAAATCAATCGATGCAATGGTTTATTGATTCTTGGCGGTGTGCTTTATCTCTTTATCTTTCTACTTTGGTGTCTTTGTGTATGCCTGGCTGTGAGTAGTAATGCAGTGCGTAGGTGTATATATCAATTATATGTGTTTCCGAGCTTTTTTTTTTTAATTATTTATATTGTGGGTTATGCAGTGCATCACTTTCAGTACATGTAAGCGGCGATGCAGTCTTGTGTCATCAGTCATTTGATGTGCTTCTGAATCCTATCAGAGGGGCGCACTTGACCTGACCTCCTGCACTCTTGGTCTTGTTTTTCTTCTTCCCGTTTTTTTGTTTTGTTAATGTTGTTATTTGTGGTTGGGCCTTGGCAGC